ATAAATAATCTGATGAGTGTTTCTAGCTGAAACCTTACAGACACATTGTGGAGACACAAAAGATGTATCCTAAATCTTGAAAAAGGGGATAAATAGGTGCCCTTTTAAGGATCTAATAATTTTGTTCTAATGTAAATGTTTTTTTGTTTTGTTTTTCTGTCGGTTTAATTAATCTTTGAATGCAAAATACTACTACTAATAATTACAACTAACAATAATGACAAAAATAAAAATCCAAGCCAGACTTTTGAATGCTTTTGTACATCTTGTGTGTTTTTTACAGAGATGGAGGCCTGTCAGCTTGTTTATCAACCTACCAAAGTACATTTGTGCAGAAGGCAGGAAGGACTCAGCACGCGACAAGCCCCGTCCCACACACACACACACACGTACACACATACACAGCTGTCAATGCCAGAGCAGCCCTGACAGCAAACACCACTCTCTTACTGTCACATCACATACACTGTCCTGCCACACACACACACACACACACACCTGACAGCTCTCATACTCACAGAAGCGCCTTCACACACAAGGAAGAAAATAAAGTAAGTATTCAGTCACTCTTACAGAGACAACAATACTATAGTCCTACATTTACATAGACAATGGTAAATCTAATTATTACCTAATTATTGTTTTGTATTATTAATAAAACAACAATATGGTTAAAGTGTTTACATGAGTTCCTGTTTTACACTTTACAGTACATATATTAATGGTACCTTCCCACGCAATGTCCATGGCAGAATAATATATACTGTATATATCAACATACAGTTTCTTTGTTACAGTACAATTTACAATATTGGGCTGTTTGGTTTAATAATTACCAGTGCAATACATGAAAACAGAAGACAGCAGATACAAATTCTTGTTCAAAGACATGTTCTTTTGTTTACCATAAACTGCTGACCACTGCCAAGTGTGTAACCTGTGTGTCACAAAATGCAAAGAAAACCTTGACTTGACATTTTTATTAAATCTTACAAAATCATTTTTATTTTTTTTTCTTTAGTAAACCTTAAATCTCAGGTCTGTTACTAAACAACTCTAATTATTTAGCATAAAATTTTTTTTAAAAAAAAGTCAATTGGCCTGAAATATGTTTTTGCAGTCTGTTTTTACATGTGTTCTGTCATTAAAACATAACACATCTTCAGGGTCCTCAAAGAGTCTTTCTACCATTAAACATCTTTGTTTTTTGTTCCTCATTTTTAATCATCAATGTATGTAATAATTGTATGTAGCTCTCAAACAATTTTAAAATTAGGACTGCTATCAGGTTGCCCTAAAGTCAAGACAATAATCTTCTGACCAATCAAATGCTCTATCTTATCTTATATGTTCCCTTTAAGACAATTCTCATTTGATTTTCAAATGATGTACTTGAGCTCAACCAATCTCACTGGCAGACCTGTGATACAAACAAAATGCTATTGGATGCTTTTAATTAAGGGAAAGAGATACTTTATGCCCCGCTCTGTCTTCATGTTTCAATTGAGATCATGCCAAATTTCTAATAAAACAAATGCACTTTTCAAAGCACTTCACAGGACCTTTAAGTATTTTGATATAAAGCCATCAAGCTGAGGCCAGCAGAGAAGGAATGCTACACCAAAAGCACATACAAATGGTCAAACTTGGATTGATGATTATAAAAACATTTTTTTTTTAGTGGATTAACTTAAAGAATGTACACAGGCAAAATAAACATTGTATATGTTCACATGGACTTTAAATTAATATAACAGACAGGACATGCTGTTCTATATTATCTTTTGTCCTAAATGTGGTCCTAACTTAAATTAATATGGTTACCAAACAGATAGGATATGATTCTAAAGATCTTAAAAATAATTCTTAAATCTTTGTCTAATGTCTTCCTTGTAGTTTTGTAATCAAAAATGAAACATCAAACATTACCGGCTATTCTCCGGAAAGGTCTGTATGTATGAACAGGCCCTTTTTAAAAATACTGGTAAATTTGTTTCGCCAATTTTCCGGAAAGTAAAGTTGTAACATTACCGGTAATTTTCCTGAATGTTGTACTGTGTGAACGCAGAAGGAAGATTGCTGGAAAGACGTGAGACGTCTACTTTAGCCAATAAAACACTCAGACGCATTCACGTCCACGTGGTTTATGAAAACAAAAGCCTTTGAAAGTTTTTTCAAACACATTAAGATGTTAGATGTTAGTCAGATAGAATTTCTATGTTCCTTCGACCTGAGTACTTGGGGCATAGCAAACAACCCTGACCTCAGAAAAAAATACTTTTAACATCCAAGATGGCAGCTAGTTACATCATTTAATATGACCTTTTGTTGACAACCAATTTGAAAAGTGACAGCCAGCATTTTCTGTCTTTTTTGTTTTTGCATAAATTAATAAATTTATAATAATTAGATTGCAGTAAAACCAACCTGTGTACTTGGGCCAAATGATAAATAATATTACCTGTTTTTTTTTTTTTTTTGTTCTTGACAACTAATTTGAAAAGTGGCAGCCAGCATTTTCTGTTCTTTTTGTTTTTGCCATAATGCAAATGTCATGGCAATCTCATTTGGTGAACAGGATACTGTGACACACGACTGACTGAAACACACTGAGGTCAGAAGCGGAACATTTTACAGCTGAATGTATATGTACTACAACAACTAAAACTGCAACATGAAAGCAATATTCTAAAAGCAAATAATGTAAACACTTTAATTATAATATTGTCTTATTCAGAATAAGGTCAAAATACTACTGAAGTCCATGTAGAGGTACCCAGCCTTGAATCAGTGTGTGAAATGTGATATAAAATCTGTAAAGTAGTTAATGCATTTACTAACATGAACTAATCATGAACAATACATGTACAGCATTTATTAATCATAATTGAACATTTACCAATGCATTATTAACATCCAAGTCCAAGCTTGTTGACATTAGTTAATGCACCATGTGTAAACATGATCTAACAATGAACTACTAAATGTATTGTTCATTGTTTGTTCATGTTAGTAAATGCATTGATTAACATTAACTACTGAGACACATTTGCTCATTGTGCACCTCCAGGATAAAATAATATAAAAATAAAATAAAACTAGACTCTCTTCATGAGGAGACATGTCACATTGTGTAGGGAAGATATCCTCATCGCCTTGGTGAAATAAATATTCCTATTTAGACAGACAGCGCTGCATTGGAATGCAAATGTAATACAAGACGGTTTTCTCTCAGACTAGGAGGAAGATGGATGACTGTTACCCAACTGAGCAAATCATAAAGTGCTGCTCTTTCTCATTCCCCACACACATTAAATCATTCTAGAGGAGAGGAGGGGGTGTTTTATAGATAATGGTGTTATATTGAGCTGTAATGCGAGCTGTGCTGAGAGCGTTGGATGCAGCGTGTGTGACGAAGGGCTGAATCCTGAGAAAATGAGGATGAAATACTGGGTCAGAATAATCTACCTGGAGTGTGTCAACCTTGCAAATAATATTAGTGGCTATCAGTGCGTCATAGTTTAAAACTCTCTTCTTAGTGAGCCACATATTTAGTCAGCCTCTCATCTGATCTATGCTCTCTAAAAAAGTGCTTTCTATCAAATCTGACTGCTTATAATGCTCTTGGAAAAAGGTAACCAATAAGGCTTAAATGAAGCAACGTTCAGAGCTAAAGCAATGATCAGTTTATTTTGAATTGATTTGTTTTGCTTTCACCTGCAATTAATTGTGTTTTAACTAACTTGAAGCTTTACATTTATTTATTTTTTCCTTAAATAAAAAACAAAAATGATAGCCTAATTAACCCAACATCTATATTACAATAATGTAACAGTAACACTCACTTCAGTGTTTAGCTACATACAGCGAAGCATAAAATATTATTAGCTAACCTGTGAAACATTTATTCTTTCCCAAATATTTCTCAAGTGATATTAAATGGAGCAAGGAACTTCACAGTAGTTCTAATAGTGTTTTTTCTTCTGTAGAAAGTCTTATTTGTTTTCTGCAAGAACTGGTTCATTTCCTCCAGTAAACCAAACAAGTGCTACCATTTTGACAATTTAAACCTTCTCAATAGCAAATTTAAACTGAATCCCTAACGTAACTGAAGATCTGAGTTTAGAGTGAAGTTCTCTTTTTTACAGAAACACCATTATATTTTCTTGTATGGATGGTACAAAAACAAGTGTTACAAGAATGTATAAAATATTTAATGATCTTCCACCACCACCCCTCAAACAATGTAAGATTGTCTGCAAGGACAATATAAGACAGACTAGGTTATCAGTTAAAGGGGATATTTTCAGTTAAACTTATGAGAACTGCTTATGGACAATCAGTTATTTTTATTTATTTATTTGTTTTTTTCAGTTAGAGCAGCAGAAAGCTGGAATTAAATACCAGTGCATATGAGAGAGCGTACCACTTTTAATAATTATAAAACAATTGGCTTATTAAAAAAAAAAAAAAATTCAACCACTGAGTTAATTTAATTAAATTTTTAAATTTTATTTTTAATTTAATGTATTGTCTGTATTGTACTGTAAGTGTATCTTGTATTACATTTTTCTTTAAATAGCTAACTTATTTCTGAAGGATCAAGGCACACTGAAAATTAAAGAGTAATGATCCTGAACAATCTCACAGGAATGCATTAAAATATTGTAAAATATCATAAACAGATGTTTGTACTATATCAAATAAATTTAGCCCAATAAAAATATGGTTTTAAACTTTATTCAAAACCAATAAAAAAATAAAAAATAAGATATTTCTGAACGGTAATGTAAATCGTCACCTTAGAATTGTAAGGTTTTATCTGAGAAATATGCAAGAAACAACATAGTGTAATATTATTACTGCAAAACTGTCCTCACACAAACACTAGGTATATTTCATGAGCTTGGGTTGTTACATTTAAAATGTGAACAAATCTGTGAATCAAAATGTGTGGTATATGTGCTGACAATAATGTGGATTATTCAACAAACACTTACTCCAGGAGTTTCTTCGCATGCTCTTGTTCATGTGTGCTGTTCTGGAGCTCCAATTTCAAAGAATTCATCTCATCTTCCAGGCCTGTAAAAAAAAAAAAAAGGCAAAAAAAAGAAAGAACTTTCATTAAATGCAGCAACTTAAGTAACAAATGACAAAATCTCAAAATACTGTAACTGAGTACTTTACTGAGTACTTTACTTTACTTAGTATTTTACTGAATAATTTAAATTTAAATTACTATGTAATTTAAAAAAAAATAAATAAATAATATATATATATATATATATATATATATATATATATATATATATATATATATATATATATATATATATATACTTTTAGTTTTTCTTACATTTTTAGTGCCATATCTGCATTTTTATGTTGCTATTTTCATTTAACCTATGGTCACTACTTTATATATTAAATATTTTCTTGTCTGTGGTTTGCTAAATAGAATTAATCTGTCCTATCAAATGGTGCACAGAAAAATCACATCAGACAGACCGACCACTTTATAAATCCAGCAAACATATACAGTGTAAAACCATTAAAAGTGTCCATAAAGATGAAAAATTGTTACAAGTAACGAGCGAGAGACTGTATGACTGCATGTCATTGATAAGAAGATGAAATATTCCTATAATGACTAAAATCACGAAATGGTCTTAAACAATAATGTTAATGTACAACAGAACGTTATGTTTTTGAATACATGCACAAATTGCTTGCATTATATCAGCACTGCGCGAGCTTAGTTTGCGATGCCAACTGCTGGACACTAGTAGTTTGTTCTAAGTGCATAACCTAAGCATTAAAGGGCACTTATTTTACCCCTTTTTCAAGATTTAAGATACATCTTTTGTGTCTCCAGAATGTGTTTGTAAAGTTTCATCTCAAAACACCCATCAGATTACTCAATATATCTTTCAAAAGTTGCTAGTAGCTGGTTTTGTTGCCTGTGCCTTGAATGCTAGTTCTTCCCGCCCACCGTTCCCATGTGCCTGTGATGCTTTGTTCACACCTGACGTGTCATGTGCGGACAAATCACGCAGTTTCCGTGTGAATAGACGCGTGAACAATTTTAGTTTACTCGCTTTATTCGCACATCAAATTCACTTCATAATGGACAGATTTGCATCATGGGCAGGGTTTCTGTCTGCCCGGTGACTCTAGCTTCATTGCTAAATGGCTAACATAGATTTTATTGAGAGAATGGTTGTGTTTATAGCTCTGTGAGTTTATAAACGCCTACAGAAACTATACCTGATGGAAGCTTTTAGCGATGCTTCCGATTGAGCCGAGCCCAGCTTCTTCTATGTCAGCCGAAAGATTTTCCCAGGGACACAAACAACAGGCGCTACATCATAATTACGCCTTTATAAGACAAAGCTCCTGATTGGTTAATGCGGTGCAAATGTCCACTGGAGTTCAGATTTTCCAACTCGATCAATTCATGCGACATGCATCATTCGCGACATAGATCAATAAAATCTGTCACTTTATTCGTTTCGTTCGCACATATAGTGCCGCAGGATATCTATTTGCATCTTTGCATTGACTTAACCCTTTGATGCCCTACATAGGTCTAAAGTGACCAGTCTAAGCTTATTTTTTCTATATCTGTTTTAAAGCTTGTGCATCAAAGGATTAACATGTAAATCACTCGCGTTTGGCACTTCATCTGCGTCTGGTGTGAACGCCGCAGTAGAGTGTGCCTCAATCTCTGCCTCAGCTGCGTCAGATAAACAGCACAGTGACAGACATTAAGGAAACAGATCTCACGTAACGTTTGTGACAAATACCACAGTAAAAACTTTCCCAATTATTATTTGATGTATTTGTTGTGGAGTTGCAACAATGTTTTGCACAGCAAATGTGACAGAATACACATTAATCTCCACTGCTGTATGGATATCTGTTTATGTATAAAATAAACCTTATTTAACATCCACAAACCAGGATTGAAGTGTCATCTTGTCCTTGTCGTTGCACTGACATGCGGCTGTGGTGATAAAGATGCTAAAATTGCTGTAATTCATTACAAGCATGCACTGTTTTAAAAACATTTTTAACTTGTAAAACTCATTCCTGATCACATTTGATGATGATTGATGATCACAGAGAGCTGAACAGATCTTTTAATCCCAGTTGCTTTGCACACTGCCTGTCTTGTTGATATGATTGTATGTGTCACTACGGAAACACGTTAATACATGGCTGTCAATCAAATCAGTGGGTGGGAAAACTGCACTCATTCATCACGTTGCGGTTATCCTCAAAATAGGAGGGATTTGGATCCTATTTTTAACATCAGGAAATTTAAAAAAGAGACTTATTGAGCCCTATCATACACCCGGTGCAATGCGGCGCAACTATTGAGGACTCAAAAGTTGTTTGCTAGTTTCAGCTTGGTGCAAGAGTCGTTTTGATGTTTTCCGCCACACTGTTTGAATAGCAAATGCATTTGCGCTCATATGTGTGCCCATAAACGTTCTGGTCTAAAAAAAGAAGCTGTATTGCTATTTTGAGGAACTTATAGTAGGTTCAGATAGATCAGATCAAAGCTGGTGTATTACAGCGCAGAGCGTGTTAGTTGTGCGCCTTGCTTACACATTGCTTAATACAGACAGGGTGTACAGCAATACCCAAATATCTTTACAAATGAAAAAAAATAATTAAAATATCAAGGATATATATAGGATATAATAAGGATATATAGCCTATAGGATATAAATATATATATTTAAAGGATTAAAATATTACAAAACATATTATTTTCTAGCCTACATAAATATAAAAAAACAAACTTTCATGCCTTCTTCATCTTGGGGGGCTTTTTCAATTCATTCATAATTTGCTTTTGCATAATGTTATTATTATAAGCAGTATTATTTTTTATATGCATATGTATATTTATTTTATTAAAAACAAGTTTAGATTTGCCCACCTCTCAGGTTTTAGACTATATGGGGCATAGCATGTGTATTTGGATATAACTCAGTTGTTTGAACACACTTCGTTATTATTGTTCATTTATTCATTTGCTGTAAATTAGAACTGAATTTGAAAGTAGTTTTGAAAAAAAAATTTGTCCTTAACAATTTAAATTAATTATATTTAGGCTAATTGATGTCTGTGTGTACAAGGTTTCCCTATCCACAAGAGCGAAAGTGAAAGTAGATAATGAGAAGGCTTATCTCTCATTCTCGCGCTGCAGATGCTCTGCTTGACTGTTTTCTTAATAGTGAAATGCTCAGTTTTTCCACTTACAAAGTCAGTCATGTAAAAAGCAAATGTGCTATGGCGCAATGCAACTGACTCTTAAAGGGAATGGGAGATACAGTAAGACTCTGATTGGTTTATTCTCAAAACACACCTATAACTCACCTATTAGACGAATAGGGTAAAAGCGGATTTTTCCGTCCTTAAATTACCAAAAGTGGATTCCGACACGCCCTAGTTGCTTTTGCGCTCTGTGCTTTGGTGCTTTTGATGGATCATCAAAATAGAGCCCGTTGTGTTTATATCACTCCAATATTTCACTATATCACTAAACCTACACACAGTTCTGTACAAACAGCTTGCAAAAGATGATTTCATTATAGTTGCCTTTTAACACACAGTCACAGCTAAATTTGTGCCTCATAAGGCCCGTGCACACAGAGACTTTTTTGCTCATGTTTTCCATCGATGTTTAATGCCTTGTGACTAAATAAAGGGTGTCAATGTGATCGTGCACACCAACGCGCAAAACGGCAGGCATAAAAGTGTCATTTTTAAAGAATTGCCTCATGCTCAGTTTTCTTTTTTTTTTTTTTTTTTTTTGATGCAACGCAAACAATAAAAACGTCCCGGTGTTTACGAGCCTTTAAGTTACACAGATTTCACTAAACAACATCAACATGCTTTCTGTCAGCTTATCATAGATGCAAATATGAATGTAATTTGTTACCACATTAAATTATTCTCACATTTAAATGCATACAGCATGAACGACAAATAATTTAACTTACACTTAGAAGCACGTTAAAAAAGAAAATGATGATAATCTATGCTGCATTTTAATTACCAAAATGCGCAAGTGTGCCCGTTTTTGCGTTTGTTTTAGAACTTCCGATTCAGTCATCTATGGGAGAAATGACTAGGAATAATAAACGCCAGAAAACGGTCAAACCACTTGCTCTACAAACAAGTGTTTGCATGACTATACAGATCAAGTAGAAAATTATAATAAAAAAGTGTAAGTTTGCAACACCAAGCAGCATAATGAGCTGTTTTAACATGTAAAAATTAATGGAAGTAAATGAGACCGGAAGTCTCGAGCCAAAAACATTCAAATGGCTGCATCCAATCACATGCAAAGAATAAGGTCAGTAAAGGGGAATACTTCTCGCTACTCACTTCACTTGAGTTCTTTTATAAGGGCTATTTTTTTATTTTGAGAAGTGTTTACAACAGACACTTTTACTCTACTTGCACTACTTTTTTGACATTCTTTGACAAACATGACACTTTAAACAACTAACAGGCTATGGTGTTAGTCGGGTGATGAAGACTCGCTTCAGGAAACTTGTGTATTAAAAGAAATGTTCACAATAATAAATCCAACTCTAACATCTACTGTTGGCAAAAGTTAAAAACAGATCTCTGTCTTGCTGTCTTTTGTCACTTGCTATAAATGTTCATCTGGTTTTCTTCCCTCGTTCATCTATTCCCCCCACTGCCAATAAAAGTAACTCTTTTCTCTCTCTCTCTTTCCCTGCTTTTTATCTCTTGCGAAGCACTGAAGCATAATCTGCCTATCGGTTGCCAGCAGCCATAATTGAGGGTGAACTCTACACCCAAACACGGGCCAGTGAAAGCATTCTCATTCATCATCTCGGCTCGGTGACATCCGATGCAGCGTTCGGGAGGCTGCATTCACTCGGCCCTGCTCTCATTATCATGAAGAGAGCAAAGAGACAGGGGGAAAAACAGCCAAGGATTTGAAACAGGAGACATTTTAAAAGACGAGAGGGAGAAGAGGATGACAGGAAACTGTAGGAGTTGGACTGGCCACAGATTTAGAGCTGTGCTAC